TCTATAACAATCTCTAAAATCAGATCTATATTCAAGGTAGATAACAGATAAACTTGTTATCTCTAAAATCAGATCTATATTCAAGGTAGGTAACAGATAAACTTGTTATCTCTAATATCAGATCTATATTCAAGGTAGGTAACAGATAAACTTGTTATCTCTTATATCAGATCTGTATTCAAGGTAGGTAACAGATAAACTTGTTATCTCTAATATCAGATCTATATTCAAGGTAGATAACAGATAAACTTGTTATCTCTAAAATCAGATCTATATTCAAGGTAGATAACAGATAAACTTGTTATCTCTAACATCAGATCTATATTCAAGGTAGGTAACAGATAAACTTGTTATCTCTAAAATCAGATCTATATTCAAGGTAGATAACAGATAAACTTGTTATCTCTAACATCAGATCTATATTCAAGGTAGGTAACAGATAAACTTGTTATCTCTAACATCAGATCTATATTCAAGGTAGGTAACAGATAAACTTGTTATCTCTAAAATCAGATCTATATTCAAGGTAGGTAACAGATAAACTTGTTATCTCTAAAATCAGATCTATATTCAAGGTAGGTAACAGATAAACTTGTCATCTCTAAAATCAGATCTATATTCAAGGTAGGTAACAGATAAACTTGTTATCTCTAAAATAAGATCTATATTCAAGGTAGGTAACAGATAAACTTGTTATCTCTAAAATCAGATCTATATTCAAGGTAGGTAACAGATAAACTTGTCATCTCTAAAATCAGATCTATATTCAAGGTAGGTAACAGATAAACTTGTTATCTCTAAAATCAGATCTATATTCAAGGTAGGTAACATATTAACTTGTTCAGAGCGTGTTAAGGTCGCCATTATCGTGGTTTAAGTATGTAGGACACACCAGACATCGTGAAATTGTTGCCATCGTCGACAATATTCGCCAAGTCACAGCAAAAAGTTCAATGCCAAGATTCTGCAATCTGTTCTGGATGGTGTTGTGAACGCCATTAGATCGAGAATGTCGTTAAACAAGCGTTGTAACATCTCCTTGAGCGATATAAACGTGCAGTACACGCGTGACAAAGATATTTCCAGTCGCCGTGAGATCGGGAATCTGAGCAATAGTACTAATTGATTACAACAAGAGCTGAATGCGAACATCTTCTTATACCTTGACTACAATAGCCACCTTTCTTGTTCGCAATAGTTTCACATTATGAAGCTGAGGGTACTATTAAAGATTAGGAACGACAGTAGTAAAAACACACAAGATAAAACATCTAGAGTGTAATCTTTGAGTATAACAAATTATATGTGAATATGGTATTTATTTCAGATTGTTATAAGTTCGCAAAAAACACTTATTTGAGGTATTACGTTTTGCATTCAACTGATGTGGAATCCGAAGATGAATGCAAACTATTATGTGAGAAGAATAACAAATGTGGCACATATCGGATAAATCGTAGAGTCAGACCATTCAGATGTGATCTGTTCAAAAAACCAGTTATCTTTGCGGCATTCAATACAAACTTGGAGGAGTGTATAAAGAAATGTACAGCGATGAAGGAATGTAAAATACTGACGAATCTTGCAAGTCAGTTTTGTTATTTGTTTGACATTAAAATCAGTGATATACCTCCCTTTAGTTTTTATCGCAGTCATAGATGGACAGCAGGAATGAAAACTTGCTAGAGATATAGGAATATTGAGATATGACCAAACCCTTTAACACCTTACCCTACACTCTCTATATTATACCAGTAGTGACAGTTTAATAAGTTTTCAAACTCTAACTAAAATTGGCATATTTTATTATTTCTGATTTTACCTTTGTTTCTACTGTTTTCTATTTCTTATTGTAGACATACTAGGTGTCGTATTTTCCTTCTAAAATCTTGTATGTAGTTAAAATTGAGCTTGTAATATTAATCTAATAAATTTCTTTTGCATGAAGATGTTTATCCATAGAAATCCATTTCATCTCCATTTAAGAATCAATTCAATAACGAGGTCGTGTTTTAGGGCCAAACCGTTCTAGCATCAGTTCTAAAGAAGGGTGGGGCAAGGGTGGGGATGTGACAATATTGTGTAAAATAATTTGTGCAATATATACTAATTTTTTTCTGTAAATTATTTACTCAGCGCAATCAAAATACTAATGTGTAAAATTCACATCTTAAAGGGATTGTAAAGACCTTTTCAAATTTGTTTTAAATGTGCCGATACTATCAGTTTCCCCGATACACATCAAAATTTAGAAAACCTCTTTACAATCCCTTTAATACCTTAATAATTATGTACAAATAATAGTTGTGTAATAATTTAGAGCAAGAATACCAAAATGACATCAATAGCTATGTGGATCCTCAAAAAAGTGATGCAGAGTTGACACACCCAGTTGCAGAGGGAGCATGTGTTCCATTAGAAACAAGATTCTAGCTAACACAATTAAAACTTGAGTAAAAGATTTACAAAAACATTTAGAAAAATAATTCAGGAATGACCAGACCATCTTTTCAGCTTATCGTATCGATTCGCTAGGCGGATTTATACATACGTGTACACAGGTTTTTTTTCTGTTTATATATCGATAAACTGACAAAATGTTCAGGTTATTCCTTATAATTAAATCAACTCGAATACGTGTTTAAATATTTAAAGGCAAAGTAACAAGATAGACTGTCAGTCAAGGTAACAACTAAAAAGATAGCTTGTCAGACAAGGTAACAAGTGAAAAGATAGCTTGTCAGACAAGGTAACAAGTGAAAAGATAGATTGTCAGACAAGGTAACAAGTGAAAAGATAGCTTGTCAGACAAGGTTACAAGTGAACAGATAGCTTGTCAGACAAGGTTACATGTTAAAAGATAGCTTGTCAGACAAGGTTACATGTTAAAAGATAGATTGTCAGACAAGGTTATATGTTAAAAGATAGATTGTCAGACAAGGTTACAAGTGAACAGATAGCGTGTCAGACAAGGTTACAAGTGAACAGATAGCTTGTCAGACAAGGTTACATGTTAAAAGATAGCTTGTCAGACAAGGTTACAACTGACAAGATAGCTTGTCAGACAAGGTTACAAGTGAACAGATAGCTTGTCAGACAAGGTTACATGTTAAAAGATAGCTTGTCAGACAAGGTTACAAGTGAACAGATAGCTTGTCAGACAAGGTTACATGTTAAAAGATAGCTTGTCAGACAATGTTACAAGTGAAAAGATAGCTTGTCAGACAAGGTTACAAGTGAACAGATAGCTTGTCAGGCAAGGTTACAAGTGGATAGCTTGTCAGACAAGGTTACATGTTAGAAGATAGATTGTCAGACAAGGTAACAAGTGAAAAGATAGCTTGTCAGACAAGGTTACAAGTGAAAAGATAGCTTGTCAGGCAAGGTTACATGTTAAAAGATAGCTTGTCAGACAAGGTAACAAGTGAAAAGATAGATTGTCAGACAAGGTAACAAGTGAAAAGATAGCTTGTCAGACAAGGTTACAAGTGAAAGGTAGATTGTCAGTCAAGGCTTGTTTTTTGGGGGAAGTCAGTCTTTAACCGTTTAATAAGCCCAATATGCATTAGCCTGAAACATTTGGTAATAACCCTCAGAATGTTCACCAAAATCTCTGTATTCCATTGATGTATTTCTTTATGTGAATGAAATTCCCTGGCCAGGTCTTCTATTAATTGTTTGCACTTGTTAGTCTAAAGAGCAGATCTGCAACGAGCGGTATTTGCAAAATTTGCAAAGCTAGGTAGATGATAACTACATAGCGATTCTTATGTCCACATTGTTTGTGGTGCGATATTGCATCGCAAACGCCTGTTCTAGCGATACTGCGAGAGTGTTTCCCGGTAGCGCACCACAGATAATTTTAACAATTAGAAACGCCATTTCCAGCGATCTGAAACACATTTCTAATGAAATCTTACTCAATCCATTCCATAAAGAGTTGGATTTAAAAAAAGGATCTCGGTACCGACGGCCAGTAATTTTGGGGTATCAAGTTGGGTAGTGCGTAAGACAAAGATATAAACTGCTAACAGAAGTATTCACCAACCTTACTTATAATCACCAACAAAATTCCTGGCAGTCCAAACATCAGTCATTCCCAGTCATATTCCAATACATATAATTGGTTAGTTTATTAAAAACGTTACTACATGTCTTCTAATACCATGACTGTCTCTGATTGACAGGGCCTTCTCTCTGGAGTCAAACATAGTTTATATTAGATAAGGTCTCCTGGAGTCAAACATAGTTTATATTAGATAAGGTCTTCTGGAGTCAAACATAGTTTATATTAGATAAGGTCTCGTGGAGTCAAACATAGTTTATATTAGATAAGGTCTCGTGGAGTCAAACATAGTTTATATTAGATAAAGTCTCGTGGAGTCAAACATAGTTTTTATTAGATAAGGTCTTCTGGAGTCAAACATAGTTTATATTAGATAACGTCTCCTGGAGTCAAACATAGTTTATATAAGATAAGGTCTCGTGGAGTCAAACATAGTTTATATTAGATAAGGTCTCGTGGAGTCAAACATAGTTTATATTAGATAAATTCTCGTGGAGTCAAACATAGTTTTTATTAGATAAGGTCTTCTGGAGTCAAACATAGTTTATATTAGATAACGTCTCCTGGAGTCAAACATAGTTTATATAAGATAAGGTCTCCTGGAGTCAAACATAGTTTATATTAGATAAGGTCTCCTGGAGTCAAACATAGTTTATATTAGATAAGGTCTTCTGGAGTCAAACATAGTTTATATTAGATAAGGCCTTCTGGAGTAAAACATAGTTTATATTAGATAAGGTCTCCTGGAGTCAAACATAGTTTATATTAGATAAGGTCTTCTGGAGTCAAACATAGTTTATATTAGATAAGGCCTTCTGGAGTCAAACATAGTTTATATTTGATAAGGTCTTCTGGAGTCAAACATAGTTTATATTAGATAAGGTCTTTTGGAGTCAAACATAGTTTATATTAGATAAGATCTTCTGGAGTCAAACATAGTTTATATTAGATAAGATCTTCTGGAGTCAAGCATAGTTTATATTAGATAAGATCTTCTGGAGTCAAACATAGTTTATATTAGATAAGATCTTCTGGAGTCAAACATAGTTTATATTAGATAAGGTCTTCTGGAGTCAAACATAGTTTATATTTGATAAGGCCTTCTGGAGTCAAACATAGTTTATATTAGATAAGATCTTCTGGAGTCAAACATAGTTTATATAAGATAAGGTCTTCTGGAGTCAAACATAGTTGATATTTATTAAGTTTCTCTTACTAAATGATTTACTACAGACATCATATTTATTAGGTTTCTCTTACTAAATGATTTACTACAGACATCATATTTATTAGGTTTGTCTTACTAAATGATTTACTACAGACATCATATTTATTAGGTTTCTCTTACTAAATGATTTACTACAGACATCATATTTATTAGTCTTCTCTTATTAAATGATTTACTACAGACATCATATCCATTAGGTTTCTCTTACTAAATGATTTACTACAGACATCATATTTATTAGGTTTCTCTTACTAAATGATTGACTACAGACATCATATTTATTAGGCTTCTCTTACTAAATGATTATTACAGACATCATATTTATTAGGTTTCTCTTACTAAATGATTTAATACAGACATCATATTTATTAGGTTTCTCTTACTAAATGATTTACTACAGACATCATATTTATTAGGTTTCTCTTACTAAATGATTTACTATAGACATCATATTTATTAGGTTTCTCTTACTAAATGATTTATTACAGACATCATATTTATTAGGTTTCTCTTACTAAATGATTTAATACAGACATCATATTTATTAGGTTTCTCTTACTAAATCATTTATTACAGACATAGACATCATATTTATTAGCTTGGATTCTGATGAATGCCCAGAGAATAAACCGAATTATTTCTAATTATTTTCTAGTATTCCATTTAATTTGCTACTATTGTAAGTGTTAAATATATTACTACGTATATTATTGATTTATAAGCATTATGAGCAATGTTTTAGTGTAATATTTGGAATTTCCTTGGTGCATTATATTGTCCAGTTTTTAATTCCACCCTGTGACACCCCTCATAATGGTTTGACCCAGCTGTCAACATATTTTGCTTAAAGGAACCATCTTTATCATTTTATTTTCTTTATACTTATTATTTTGTATCTGTGTATTTCAGTTAATCGTCCATAAAGATTACTCCATCTCGCCCTTTATTTCTGTTCATTTATACGGGGAGGAGCGTCTTGTAGGTGGACGCATAAACAAACGCCTACATTCTTATCTCTTCAAGCGGTCGACGGCAAAGCGGTGTTGTGTTTTGTTAACATGACCTCATTTCTCTTCTACCGATCTGATCTGGTCAGATTTAAATGCCACAATCTCATTTCCACGCCCCCAAAACGCAGTGTAGTGGGCTTAGTTTAATACGGGTTATTAGGACCATGTCAAAACCTGTATTCGTCATACGATAACTAATACCACTGTCCTGGCATTCATTGAACACTGCAGGTGATGCAATTGGTCTTGCATATTGTATTGTATGTTAAGCGACATTTAGGGATAGATATCAGATTAAATAACCGAACACTATTCTTATGGTAGGTATACTACTCCTTAGTGTTATTGTACACAACGTAACATCAAAATCCAGGAGAAGTATACCATAAAATTTATGTTCCGTTATTTAATGTATTGTATATGAGATTGGATATAATTGAACCGTGACTCTTGATATGAATAATCATCGTAATCAACGTCTAGCTCACTGTTTGATGAACTGATCACAAAAACGAACGATTGTACTAATAAAATTGTTATTGTAGAAACTAATTTTACTTGAACCGGTTCAAACCATCATA